CAGCCAGCCTGGCTGGCTCGAGGATTCTGGGAGTTGAAGTCCACACATCTTAAAGTTCCCAAGGTTGAGAAACACTGATCTAAAGCATACAAAAGTTTGCCATTTCTCTATTGGCTGTACTGGAAAGCCCAAAATATGGAAAGGGATTAATATAACATTTTGTGTTGCTTGTCTTTGTATCACTAAACCAGTTTTCCACAATCTAGTGCTCAAACGTTTGGATTTGGCCATCCATTGTAGGAGTTGTAATCCAATATTACTGGCAAATTGGAAATAATTTTCAACAGAAGTGGAAACTAGTGAACTTTGTATAAAACATAGTAATTACATATTCCAAAAACTTAACTTCTTCAAGAATTACTATAGGTATAAACTTGGTAATAATCACTAGCTTTATAGTATAATTGCTTTAAATTTCCATTTAAACCTTTAATGGAATTTGTGAAGTCTTAATATAATTTTAGTTTTTTAAAAAAGCCTATATATTCTTTAGAACTCTTTTGCATCATCACATCAGCTCTTACAAGCCTGAACATGTAGTCCATATGAAATCAAAACCCTATAATAATTAGTTGTTTATTGTCATTGTTATTAATGTTCATTAAATATAACCTTACCTAGCAAGGGACTATATATCCTTCCTTTTCTTTGTGCCTACTAATGGTTGTCTTAAAAAATATGTATATGTTAGTGTAAGAAACAGTGTTATCATAAATTCAAATACTGTAAAACAAAACCAGCTGCATTCATTATAAGTGCATTACTGCCAGGAACTGTAAATATGTTTTTGCCTGATAGCCTTTTGACTCAATAATATCCTGCTATCTCTGTTGGCCAGGCAACTTTTAAAACCGAGTCGAGACAGGTTATGATTTTTACAGTAAAACTGAGTTTCTGAAAAGTATCTTTTGAGATTCATAGTTTGGGATAATTTAAAATACAGAATATAGTTGTTGCTAAGGTGATTGAAAATCACCTTTCAAGACAAATAATAAAAAAGTCCAACACACTTTTTTTGGTGCTATTTCTATAAAATACACAAATGCAGACAAACCCTATCATATCATACCATACAAACAATTTTAATTGTGTAGTTACAGTCAATAACCACTCCTAGTCAGAACATTTCTGCATAAAGAAAATTGTGATACACTTATAAAAACAGCCAGCTGTAACAAAATAACTGGTGTTTTCATAGCAATAAACTCATAAAAAAGAAATACACCTTTATACAGAAAATTTATACAGCTGTAGCTTTAAAATTGATTGTAAACCAAAGGAAGACACATTGCAAACATCAATTATTTTCACATTAATTGCATAAGTTTCTAAGGTGATCTATTAGTTTGATTTACCTAAGCTTATTTGCATGATAGTAAAAATTGCATACAACAATAAGAGTGAAGCTTATAGTATGAATTGCTTGGATAACATAGAGCACTTTTTATAGGCAACTGTGTAAAGCACATTTTTTCTATTTAAAACTTTTAAGACACTTTGTTTTACTGCCCATCAAAATACACTTATAAATAGAAAAAAACCCAATATGATAACAAGAGAAGCAATATTACATTTAACAGAAACTTCTAAAATTAATTACAACATGATATTGAAAGATCTACAAATAAATAATGGGAAAAACCATGATTCACATTTTGTTTTCAAAAAAATCATATAACAAATGAAAATGAAAAAGATACAGTGACTTCTTACTTCTGAAAAAAAATCTGAGTTACGGCAGTGCCATATAATACAAGGCATTTGTTGGCATATGTGAACTTTAAACTGCATCCCACAGTCTATAGTTCTTTTGTAACATACAATAGAGCAAGAGTAACTAACTCTTCTTTTTTCTTTTACTTAAATAAATGTTAAGCTTTCATAGATCAAGTGTGGAGTGTTAACAATAACTGGGAAAAAAATAAAAACAGTAAGTCACAAATTAATGCTTGTCTGAAAGCTCTATAATAATAATAATAATAACAACAATAAGAAAAACAACCCACAGATATCATGCTTATTGGATACATGTTGATGTACCCAGTGAACACAAATTAATATGAAACAATCTTCAATGCTTCATTTCTATCTCTGAAGCAGTTTGTAAAATATCTAGTGCAGTCTGTATTATCCTTTAATTTTTTCAACTTTTGTGCAAGTTTTGGAAGATTCATTGGCCAAACAATGAATAAAGAGGTTGCTGACAGTATACAGGATGGATTTTTCTTTTTATTAGTAAGCGGTGATGCTGTTGAATAAATACTATTTTTATCAGTCTTTCAATACAGTATTAATGTCAGTGTTCCCTTCTACCGATAACTCATCTTCTAATTTAACTGAAAAAAGTGTGTTCGTACTTTTGTCTTGGACACCCTCTTCCAAATCCTTAAGTAATTCGTCTTCCTTATATTCTGCCACATCTACTTCCAAGCCTGAGTTATCTTTCAGCTTTCCATGGTGTTTGACATAGTATCGCTGGTTCTGAAAGAACTTGATGATGGTGTATTTCGGTAGATCAAGCTGAGCTGACAGAGTCTGGATTGCTTCTTCATCTGGATACAGGCCTACGTCTTGAATAAAACTCTGAAGAATGCCCAGAGCTTCCACAGAAATTTTTGTTCGTGGACGACTCTTCTGACGATTTTCATCCTCAGATTCAGCTGGTGATGCTACTGTTGGCTGCCTTGGGGGTAATCTGGGACCAGGCGGAGGGGGCTGCTGCTGCTGCTGGGGCTGCTGCTGGGGCTGCTGCTGCTGGGGCTGCTGCTGCTGCTGCTGATGGACAATGAGAGAAAAAGTTAAGCACACACATTGAGAAAGACGCTTTTGTTAAAAAAAAAAAAAAGAACAAAAAGAGTTGTCTTCACCCCATTATTTAGGACCAACCCTGTTTGGTCTCCACATAGATTTGCCCTTCCTTGGCTTAAATGCAGATAGCACATGGATAGAAATGTTAATGCTAACCATGGTTAACTAAACATTATCAATCTTTTTCAATCAATATTTCACACGTTAACCACTGTATTACAATCAAAATATCGATATATGCTACTTACTTTGGCATAAACATTCATGGGACTTTAAATGTTTGAATAATAAAAACAGCACCTTCAATCCAGTGGATCCAAAATCAAAGTGTAGGTATATATAGTATAGAAGAGAACTGACACTAGCATCTCACCATTTATACTGAACCTTGCCTAACATGCGCACATCAGCTATTTTGTCATACTCTACCTAAATGCATGAATCAGGGAAGATTTAGGTTAAAAAGGGGAAGGAAGATTAAGAAAAGTATGTGAGCCTGTAGATCATGCCTGATTTCTTCATTATGGTCCTTACCTATTATCTATTACAGTATGTTTGCAATGGATTAGTACTGAGTGTATCAGGGGAAAGCAAATCTAAGTTAGAAAAAAGAAGTATACTTCTTTCATGTTGCTCTTCTGCTAAAAAAACATATTCCCTAGGTGTTCACATTTGGTCCCCACTCAATCAGCCAAGACACAACTTTTTAGCCAGGTTTTAAATGTTAATTATTTTAACAACATTTCAATAATATTTGCATATGTTAATGTAGTTTAGTATTTTATTTTTATTTCATATTTTTGCACAATTTATATTAATAGTTACCTCAATGTTTTGAGAAAAACATTGAGAAAAAGAAAACATACAATATAAAGCAACAATATTTAGGAGGAGTTTGGGTAGGAACAGTCTAAAAAGGATTACCTTTAAATAGATTATTACAGGAAGAAAGATATACATACATGCTACAGTCACATATTTAAAACTAAATTGTTATCAGTGTTCCTTCATTTCTGTTACCTTTATTTGTAAACTCCATATAAACATATATTAAGAGTGAACTGAAAACTAGTCCTACTGACAAACAAAAGGGAGATGTCAGAATGCTTGGGAAAACTTGCACAAGTTTTCAGAAATAGAGAAATACAAACAAAAAATTCCTTGCAACTTCACCCCACAAGCTGAGAGGGACAGAGATGGAATGGAAAGAAATATCCAGAAGGACGAATGATTAACTGGATAGAACTCTATGCAGAACTACTCCACATGACAAGGTTATTTGCAGTACCCAGTAGGGATCAGCAGTAGATTAATCTAAATCTGGAATCAAATTGATGTGATATTGGCACTGGCTAACCAAAAAGCATTCTGCAAGGTGGGATATGTCAGATTCAGGTTCCTAACAGAACATACAATTCTGTATTAGATGCTGCCACAGAATACCAGTAAATCAGTGTGCCATCCTCACAACTACAAGATGGGGACTGGGGATCTTTTATGTCTTTCCTTTGCATCATCAAATCAAGATTGATGGAAAGTTAAACAAGAGCCAGTTTGGTCTAGTGGTTAAGGCACCAGACTAGAAACCAGGAGACTGTGAGTTCTAGTCCTGCCTTAGGCATGAAAGCCATTGGGTGACTGGGACTGGGGATCTTTTATGTCTTTCCTTTGCATCATCAAATCAAGATTGATGGAAAGTTAAACAAGAGCCAGTTTGGTCTAGTGGTTAAGGCACCAGACTAGAAACCAGGAGACTGTGAGTTCTAGTCCTGCCTTAGGCATGAAAGCCATTGGGTGACTTTAGGCCAGTCACTCTCTTTCAGCCCAACTCACCTCACAGGGTGGTTGTTGTGGGGAAAATAGGAGGAAGGAGTATTAGATATGCTCACCACCTTGAGTTATTTATAAAAATAATAAAAGCAGGATTGAAAAAATATATTCAAAAAAAACTGCCAAAAAAAAAAAACTACTGCAAATATCTTTTTCTAAATTGGCAGATTTTGTATCTAGACCCAGTTCTACAGTTTCTATTGTTTGCTCAGAAACTGCCTCAAAACACAGAGGAATTTAATGTTTTTTTAAAAAATTGTCTCACACTATAAAAATCAAAAACACCTATGCCTATCTGCCTGAACCATGTATATTCCCCATTGAAAGTGCAGTATTGCTTGCAAA